CAGAGCATCTCCAAAACTGCAACTCTTGTGTTCCCAGTCTGCAGTGGTCAGTACCTATCAAAAGTTGTCCAAGGAAGGAAAAGCGGTGAACCAGAGACAGGGTCATGATTTTGGTGATCTTCGGACTTTTCATTCAGCATATCAGCTTTGCAATCAGGTTAAAATTCCCACTTGTCTAGCACTCTAGCACTTCAGGCTGAGCTCTCCATTTACAAGTTGATTTAAGTTTCAACCCTCACCTATGGTCACAAGCTTTGGTTAGAAACAGAATTAGATAGCAGATACAAGTGGCCAAAATTATTTTTTTGCAGGATAGCTGGGCTCAGCCTTAGGGACTGCTCCTTCTTGTTGAGGAGAGTCAATTGAGGTTGTGCAAGCATTTGATCAGGATGCCTGCTGGATGTCTCCCTGTGGAGGAAACATCCATTTTCGAGAAGACCCCAGGGCAGGGTTCCTCCTTGTTGAGGAGAGTCGGTCATGGTTCGGGCATATGATCAGGATGCCTCCAGGATGTCTCCCTGTGGAGGGAACATTCAACTGGGAGGAGACCCCAGGACAGAACCAGAACACGCTGTAGGGATATACTGTATATCCCATCTGGGTGGGTGCCTTTAAGAATGTGAACACCTATGCGTGCGTGTTTGCGATTTAACATACCGACAACATGCAGCTTACATTCCATCTTGATTGTACCATCTTTCATATTACAGGGTTTAACTTGAGTCTGAGATTTTATAAAATGTCCACTGTATAGATAAATCTACCAAACAAGAAGTGACTACTGCCCTTTGAATTGTAGAGGCATGGAGGAGGTATACATTAAGCTCAACATGTAGCAGGATAAAGTGTTAAATAACAGACGTTGTAGAGGCATGATGAGCCATATGGACCTGTGGCTACAGTACAGACTGCTGGGTTTTTTCCAGCTCCCCTCTGACTCATTAAAGAACAAAATACTGAAAATAAACACACCAGCAACACTATAAATATCGTCTGCTAAACAGCTTCAGACCCGCTGACCCGATTTATCACAGATCAGCCTTCAGTGCTTGCCCGCCACCTGACAAGAGCCTTTTTTGACCCTGCCATCACTTTCATGTGGAAAGCTATTTTAAATGTTTTCTCTCTCAAGGTCTCTTTGTGTTCTCTCACATTTTTCCCTTCCTATCTATAAATGTCCTGCATCCTGTGACCTTATGCAGCATTAGCCACCAGACACGATTCCCATACAGTCATCCAACCATCCTCCACTAGATTTGCAACAAAGACACTGCAGCACATTTTCCCAATTAATGTACGAGAAAACATAATTTGTAGTTCTCAAAACTGTCAAGGGAACTGTTAAATTTAGTCAACTCTGAGGTGGAGCAGCTATGGAGCCAATGTGGAATAATATGTGAAACAGATTTCCATGTCTACTGGACAGAAGATACTAAGGGTGAATTAAAAGTTATTTGTACATTGATCATCCCTTTTCGCTCAGCACAGTGCTGATGTTAAGAGAGAATCCAGAATAGCACAGTGAGCAAGTGAAAAATACCCAGGCATGAAGCTCAACATGCCCCCGGGGTGCTAATGATGGAGACATTTTAGAGGTTGGGCTACTTCTTTTGCAAAGAAATATGGACCAATTTTCGTCTGATTTTAGATAACTTCCACCACTATTTGGTCGTGTTTAGTTTGTGATTGAAACAAAGGGTTTTAAATATACTTAAAGTGCACCACTGTTCCAACAGAAAATGCCAGATAAAATGAGCAAGTCAATAAACACAATTCAACATTACCAAATAATGTAATGAGGAAAACTATCAGCATTTGAATCCCTAAAAAGTTATACCTGCCATTGGCAAAATTAGAAGCAGTACATAGATGCAAATTACAATCTTTTCTTTGGGATTTTGTGCCGTGATTATTGCTATTCACAACCATTGCTATTCTCTTTATTGATAAGCAGACTTTCAGGTTTATGGAAAGCAAACCTTTGCAGCTTATTTTAGAGCACTTTCGACTAAAGAAAGGTGGTCAAAGTCTGACTCAACAGGCAAAGGACGAATTTGTCCAACACTGAAATCCTCTCACCAAGACCACAGAAATTACTTGTCAGGGCTACTCTGGATCTCCAAGGAACCGACAACAAGCCAGTATACCAGGACCCATACGCTTCACACAGGACAGACAGAAAGTGAATGGGTGGTGCACTGAGTGGTGGAAGGGAGCAGGTGTGTCTGTTTGATTGGTCAAAGTGACAGCAGAGTGACAGTGACAGGTGCCTGACAGCCAGGTGCCACATCATTCCTCAGTGGGCCCAGACCTCGAAACAGCATTCATTCATTAATTTCTCTCTCACTCACTGACTGAATGACATGAGAGAGAGAGAGAGAGAGAGAGAGAGAGAGAGAGTTTCAGGCAGCCAGACAGGCCTGAGAGACTCAGAGATAATTACTGTCTCTACAGATTCCTCTGACTTCTCAGATAGAGAGAAAAGAAAGGGATGGAAGGGCAAGCCAGCAGGTGGTATGCTTCATTACATCTTATTAAAAGAGCAACACATTGTTCAGGTTGGGCTGGCTGAGAGCACGGCAGTACACCAAAGAAAAAGGCAAAACCTAAATTCCACTGCATGGCTCGGCTCGACTTGCTTTTGGTACCAGGTAGTTCAGTATATGAAACAAAATTGTGGTTGCTATTGATGGTAGCTTGGCTATTTAAAAATGGCGGGTCTGTGCAGGATGTTCTATGTTGCGCAAGTGACTATTTTAGGGCATTTATCATTTATTCCTGTGCACAAACTTACCATGTTACGTTAGCATTAGTTTCAAAATAGCTGAGGCTTGATGGTAATTGTCTTATGTAGGACCTTTCCTGGCTTGGTTGTCATCGTTCTGCAGGGACATGGCAACGTTTGTATCAAATTTCATGGGAGCAAATCCAATAGTTATAGTCATATTTCACTCTGGACCAAAATGTTGGACCAACCAAACAACATGCCACTAAAAATATTAAAAAAAACATGGGTATTATTTTGCAAGGATGACTCTGTATGGTCTATTTCCCTCTCGGAATTCCTTATCTGGTTTCATGTGTTTGTGTAGCTGTAAACAGAAGCTGTACGCAGAGAATCTGCCCAACACCAGCATCATCATCCCGTTCCATAATGAGGGCTGGTCATCGCTGCTGAGGACCGTTCACAGCATTCTCAACCGCTCCCCTCCACAGCTCATAGCAGAGGTCATCCTGGTCGACGACTTCAGTGACAAAGGTACCGAGAACACCCACTCATGACTGATCAGAAAACACACCTGCGCCAGCCTTCACCTACACACATTCACACAGTTACACGAGCACAGCTGCAGTCATGCTACTAATAACCGCTTTCTTCCTCTGTATCGCTCCTTCTTTCATGCCCACACACACACACAGAGTTGCTCACACGCACACACACAAACCTCTGAGTCATTTGTTTGCAAGTGTTAGTGACTGTTGCACAAATAATAAGCCGTTCAGAAACAAAAGCATCAGCCAGCTTCTGCGGAGGCCCAAATGTGATCTCAAGAAGTTCTTACTTTTATACATCATACGCAGACAGAGGGAGAAATAGACACAAACCCTGGTGAGTCAGTGCTTCAGGAATGTATCTCACCAGCCCAGGCGGTCATTTATTATCAAGACCCGAGAGCAGCTAGCATTGCAGAGCTCACTGCTTTCTCGAGTGTGTGTGCTTGTGTGTGTTTACATGTGCCTGTGAACTTTGGTTCTACTGGTGTAAATCTTGCTGTTTTTAATTACTGGATATTGGCTAGTCATTGGTGCTAACTTCTGATTTGACCACAGATAAATAGAAATTTCAATAAAATATGCAAAAAATAATTACATGATAACCATGCTAAATGCCTAAACTTTCGTATATTAACATGGTTATGCTACATGCCAATTGTCAGAATGTATTTGTGAATGGTGTGAACATTTGAATACTGATGTAGCATTCAGCTTAAAGCACAGCTCAGCCCAACAATGTTATGTCTGATATTTAAGCTTCCAGGCTTGTTTCAGAATTCTGAAGTAGCGACATTTGCAGCACTTTGTTAGAGCTTTCTTCTGACAAAGAAAATGCAAAAAACTCATGGGTGGCTTGAAACTGGTCCGAACCACTGTAGGGCGTTTCTTCCTAATTGAGTTTACTGAGTGTCACACACTTTAAATTCTGTCTTATATCTGTCTGATTCCATACACACAGTCACTGTCTCACAACAGGACTGGGCAATTCCAAATATATAAAGGTCTGAGGAGAAGACTCCGTTTCTATTCTAACTTTAATTGATTTTTGTTTAGTTTATTAGAGAAAATGTATCATCCTCAAATTTGAAAATCAGCAGCGAACGTCAACATAACAAGATGCACATGCCCCACATTAAGGGATGTAAGCAAACCAGGACATGATATGTCCTACACTGGCGACTGTAACTGTAACCCTTTCCTCTGGCACATTGAATCTCTCCTTGTATTGGTCTCATCTGTTTTCAGAACTTAGTCAAGACTTTTTTTGTTTTGTTTTTTTGTTTTCTATTATATTGAATGTTTCATTTTTAGATTTGATTTGTATTTTTATTACAAAACGGAGGCTTAGTTTTTATGCAAAGCCTCAAGCTTCCTCGCAGACTACATGAAAATCATATTATTATTGTGTTTGGAGCTAAAAACTGCAGTAACCTCTGAACAGATGGTGATGATGGCATTGTGTGACCCCAGTGTTGGCGAGGTTTAGCGAGACTGAAATCCACTTTCTGGTGTGGGTCGGTATTCTCACACAGACAGCTTAATCAGTTTGAACTCTGGAGTTAATGTACAGCTTTGAACCCTTACATAATAAATCGGGGGACAAGTGCAATATTATCGCCGGGGTCTGAGTGGAGGAGAGAACAAGATATTCATCATTAAGCCCGGTTCACAGCCACTGTGTGAAGCATAATTTCCTGTTCACTTTTCCATGTCGTTAGATTTTAAATAAATATATATGAAGAGAGATGGAGAAGAAAAAAAGGATATGAAGAAATGTGTTTATTTGACATTCAGCGGTGTGCTATTTGCCTGTGTTGTTGTGTGTGACTTTTTTGCTCAGTGTTACAGCTTCAGCACGACACGCTATTTCAATATTTTTTATTATTTTGGTTTCATGTATTTGTAGAAGAGTGCAAAAGGGCTGGGTGAGATTTTAGAAGAGGCTGTGACACATGAGGTATAGGTATAGGCAACCAGTCTGATGTCTGCAGAGGTGTGTGTGTGTGGTTATTGTGTAGCAGCCTGTGTGATTTGCATGTGATTTAGTCAAGGACACTGGACGGCCGTGTGGAATGACACTGCGCTCTGACACAGCACCTCTCAAATCGGAGCCTGCAGATTTATCAACTTATCTGTCCTTCTGCCTTCAGATGGCTGCACGGATTTAATGGACTGAAGGGGAAGCGTTTATGCAGTATAAAGCAGCCGCGGATAACATATACTGTAAGAATGAGTTGTATAATTGATACATGCAGACCGATTTACCAAACGTCCTGCTTTAATCACATTGACTGTTTTTTCTTCTGGTGCCAATTTCAACCCATGTCCTTGTCAGAGAGTGCGAATGTTTATATACTTTTCAAGCATTATTGCTTTATGTTTTTTTGCATTTGCTCCAAGTATTGAGTTCGCTCTGGTTGACAAGAACTGTGAGCTCTACGCCGGGCACCGAAATACCATACAGACGGGCAAATCGAATTTCAAGGTCAGGAAAATACCAAATGCTGTGCTGGTTGTTGCGCTGTGCCAAAAATAGGGCCCGCGGTGTTGAAGTGCGAGGTACACGCTCACGTTTCATAAAAACCCTCTCGGCCACTTTCTTGATGCTGATGAGCAATCTCTCTGCTCCACGGCAGAAAGCTAGCCCGCAGTAATACTGATGCCCTGCTCCATTAATTGATGCTGTTTTGTTTTGGTACCTCACAGCCGACACGAGGAAGATAAACAATTGATGAGATGCTTTTTCAGAGTGCAGTTATATTTTCTGAAGTGCTAATTAGTACCCAGTTTCTATGTTGTGTAATTATAGCATCGCTGCAGAGCGGCGTTTCAGGAACAGCCTTAAAATCATAATTAATACAACTATTCAAATTTGACTCAAAGGATACCTGATGATTTATATTTGTCTGCGTGCTTGGTAAGCTCTGCTGCAGTTGACTTTGTGCTTTATTTAAGCAGAAAACTTTTCTCCTTGGGTTCCTTGGATATTCTCTGGTGGATTGTGGACTGTTTTACCTTCTCATGATAAGTGTGCTCAAAGTGTGAAACCATGCTAAATATGTACTGCGTCTTTGGGTGAACAGTATGTCTGAGAGGCACAGAGAACAGAGGAGCAGAGTGTGAGCTGTGAGGAGCTCTCACAATATCAGTTGGGGATCGCTGTGTGTCGAGGATCATCAGATTCAAGGCGGGGGTCAGATGGCTTTCATTGGGAGTCTCTATATTTGTGTTTTCCCCACTGTGCCCTGCTTCTCTATTCCTTTCCACTCTACAGACTCCAGTTCGCTGCTGCTTGGTCCTACCTGAGGAGGAATAAGGCCTTGTTTAAGCTTAGAAGTTCTAGTTTGAATGTAAAAATGAGTTGAATTAATTTGCCTCTCTTTAACAAGTACTAACTGAGTGTAAGCTTGGTCACTGTGCATAAATTGACCATCTGTTTGCAGTTTATCGCACCTTTTGAATTTCTTATTTTCTGCTTGGCGTGACTTCACAAAGGATAAAATGATAACAACAAATACTGTGTTCCATAGAGAGGTATCCAATATTGATGACACTTCATGCATTCCTTTTTCTGGAATAAAATTGAAATAAAACTTCAGTCTTTATGTCAAAACAAGAAATGGTTGTATTCCCTTATAACCTGATGTAATTAAAATATGCTTCAATAATATTATTAATAATATTTGTTTGCAGCTTAGTAACAGGGTTTGTTTCTGCAGTGAAAATGCACTAATACTACACTTCTATGTTTGCTTATTAGGTATTTAAATGTCAAAACTTCCGTTGATAAAAAGCCTCTCTTTGCCTCTGTCATTGTTCAGTGTTAGTACACCATAACTATAAGTTTGGAAATGACATCTCCAAAAAAACATTAAGGTTCACTTTTTAATGTTTTGAATGGTCAGATGTTTTTATATTAAACGTCACTGCAGTTGCAAATGCCTCGAACAGTTTTAGCTCCTCTCCTCTCTCCTCTGCAGCAAGTTTAAGGCTTTGAAATGAATTGTCCTCCTCTTCCTTCCACCAGCTGAGACACTGCCCCCCAGTCCAAGCAAAACATGATAATAATGTGATTTTTGATGTGTCTTACAGTATAATACAAACAAATGTTCTTGTATTACATACATATGAACTAATCAGTCCTTCTCTTCTTATCATCTTTATCTGCCGACTTGTTTACACATTGGTTAAGATCCCTATGTTGCTTTATCTGCAATGTTATGATAGCAGGAAAGCAGTATTCAAGGTAAGGACCGGAAATGGAGAGTTGGCTGGTATGAGAACCAATTTAATCAGTTTATGTTGATAGAAAATCGAACAAAGCCCACCTGGAAGTTTTGAAAAATGCAATGTTAATTTAGTATGAATTAGTGAGCTCAAAATTACAAAGGTTTATGTTTAGTAGATGGCTTAATTGTTCTTGAATATGTGCAGTTAATGACTCTGAATGTGGTTGGATATTTTTCTTCATTACAGCAATTAAAATTAATAAGCAGTGATGTTGGAGGACACAGAGTATACATAGAGCATAGCATCCTGCTCATCTAAAATGTGTACATATGTACATAAAAGCTGGTCATTAAAGTTGGAATACACGTATAAGATTATTGAAACCTATAAAGACAACCGTTTCCACCAACATTCACAGATTTTGTTCAGTTTTGGCAGCCAGAAGGCGCACATACTGAGTGACGAGTAAATAGAGAGCACACTGGTGCTAATTTATACAGCAATCCATGTGGAAACAAAAAAAAAACTACATTTGGATGAGATAGTGGATGGAGAAGTGAGGGGAAATTCCACAGAAGGAGCTGGAGGAGGCAGAGCTTCATCAAAGTTGAACGTCATGTGAGCTGCAGCTCAGATTTCTCTCTCATCCCAACCATCTTGTTGTTTCTTTCTTTGTCTGTCAGAGCTTTTGGACTGACAGCACAGTGCACAGTTGTTCCTTACAGTGGGAATGTATTAGATTGTACAAGGAAT